TTACTTTCTGTCTGATTGATAAGGCGGAACATCTTAGTTTCTGATAACCAAATGGAATTCCCCATTCTTGGATTTGCAAGTATGCTCGTTTGCTTCGTCACATAACGCTCTAGGAAAACGTGATATGTTCAGAGAACAGGATATCACGACTCCTTTTCAGCAGAAGATTCTGGTAGCGCGAAAACTGAATTTGGAGTACCAGGTAAATAAGTAGGTCCACGGCATAACAACACCTTCTCTCACAAACACCTTGAGAAAGTATGGAAGCTTCTCATGAGTATCTCAGCATTTGAGAGCAGGAAACCAAGAACATGCGATCTTTCCATGCCTAAGACACGGCTAAGAAAACTTCAAATCATATAATAACATAACAAGTTAGTTCAGATGCTAGTAGTACGCAGAGTCTTGTCATCATTTGAACGAGGTACAGAAATGTGTTGACTGGTCATGTAGTCTCTGATAAATCGTTGAGAGTATGGTATATCCACGGAGGACACTTTCCTTCGCACACACTCAACCTTTTGTGTTCTCGAAGCACTCTCTTTGTCGTATAATCGTACTGTATCATGTACGTTCTGCACGGTTGCGACTTGCAGGTGTACATTTTCTTACCCAATTATGGGCGATGCTCACACAACTTTCCATAATCGTTCGGGAATAGAGCGGCAGCTTTGTGGCGGGGTAAGGCAAGTATTCGGTCCGCACATATTAGATCGGGTTCTATGAATGCCATTGAATCGATATGTAATTAAAGTCGAATATCGGCCACCGGCTACACAAAAAATCAATTATCAATATAAACAACTTAATAATTGAGAATCTGACCTTGGAGATGCATCATGCCTCACGATTGAAGTAGCTGTACCCGATGAGCTACTGTTCTTTATAACACGAGGATAACAGGAAGGCTTGAAGAGTGTCCGCCATATCTTCCATGAATGATATGCTGGAGTAGTAAATAGACTGGCTCGTCCTTCCACTGCTTTGTGCTCGTTAGCTCTAGCATGCTCACAGTGCGGCGGGTGCTGTAGAAGCGGTTGAGGAATTCCCTTTCCAACTGTTCCCAGCTGTTGATGGACTCAGGCTCTAGGTCCGTGTACCATTCAAAGGCTTTTCATTTTAGCGAGCGCACAAACTGCTTGGCAAGGTAGTCTCCCTCCGTCCCCGCATTGTTGCAAGTTTCGACGAAATGTGCAACGTGCTGCTTTGGGTTTCCTTTTCCATCAAACTGCATGAACTTTGGTGGTTGATATCCCCTCGGCATCTTTAGGGCATCAATCTTCTTTGAATAAGGCTTTTAGTACAACCTAGAGGTATTTGAGCTCCCTTCGAACTGTGCCTTGACGGTGCTGGCAATCATCTCTTGCAACTGCTGGATAGAAAGAGATCCCATGAGTGCCGCTTCTTGGTCTGGCTCCAGCTTCACATCGATTCTCTCTACCGTAGACTCATCTTCTGGGTTAGGGTTCTCGCCGTCCTGTGGCTCCAGTCGACTGACGAGTGCAGCGATTTGCAAGTCTGTTTCTTCCACAGTTCGGGTTAGCCTTGCGATTGCTTCATTCATTTGAGCCAGTTGTTCTTCGATGGAGGTAACGCTGATGGTCATGACTTGTGCAACCACTAGACGTGACTTTCCTTTAGACATCCAAGATGCTGACGAAGAACGTCGTTGGTTGTTTTGGGATGTCATCTTGTGTGCCTCAGCAGCATGCTTCGGTGCCCCCAGCGAGGTCAGGTTGATGACAGACTCACACCTTTGATGCTCCATTTGCTCTTTTAGCGGCACCAACTTTGAAGTGGCATGTTGAGGAGCGGTTGTGGCGCTAATGGATTGTCCATTTGCGGCAGAAGTGCTTAGGATCATTCCCTCAGTGATTGCGAGAACGGCTTGTCCCTTGCTTGATGCTATTGACTTTGAGGTGTGTTTGGATTCCTTGAACGGAGAAAGAGATGAGAGGTAGAGATTATCCCACCGGGCGTGCCAATTTGTGAACACGGAAAATTCCTGAAACGAAAAAGACAAGAACAACGTGCACAAAATAATATTTTGTGATTTTGATTTGGGTTACAATCTCTCTCAATTTTGATCCTCTGATTCGATCTCCGTAAGGTGTTGATTTATGGATGTTTCGTTGATCCAAGGGCCGTCGAGGCTTGATCTTGGATGAACTGTTGGAAGTTTCTTCAAGGGGCCGTGGGCTTGATCTTTGAAGGTGGATTTGGATTCCTTGAACGGAGAAAGAGATGAGAGGTAGAGATTATCCCACCGGGCGTGCCAATTTGTGAACACGGAAAATTCCTGAAACGAAAAAGACAAGAACAACGTGCACAAAATAATATTTTGTGATTTTGATTTGGGTTACAATCTCTCTCAATTTTGATCTTCTGATTCGATCTCCGTAAGGTGTTGATTTATGGATGTTTCGTTGATCCAAGGGCCGTCGAGGCTTGATCTTGGATGAACTGTTGGAAGTTTCTTCAAGGGGCCGTGGGCTTGATCTTTGAAGGTGGATTTGAGCGGATCTTCAAAGAGCCATTGGGGCTTGATCTTGAGGATGAGTGTTTCTTCAAGGGCCGTTAAGGTTTGATCTTGAATAACGGTGATGAACGGATCTTCAAGGGCTTTTGGGCTTGATCTTGAAGAACGGTTGGATGTGTGGATTTGTTGATGTTGTTGATCCAAGGGCCGTCGGGGCTTGATCTTGGATGAACGGATGATGAACGATGGTGCTTTCTTCAAGGGCCGTCGGGGCTTGATTTTGAATTGGTGGATGGTTGATCCAAGGGCCGTCGGGGCTTGATCTTGAAGATGGATGATTGTTGATCCAAGGGCCGTCGGGGCTTGATCTTGGGATGAACAGTTGTGTGGATTTATTGATGTTGTTGATCCAAAGGGCCGTTGGGGCTTGATCTTAGGATGAACAGTTGTGTGGATTTGTTGATGTTGTTGATCCAAATGGCCGTTGGGGCTTGATCTTAGGATGAACATTTTATGTGGATTTGGTGATGTTGTTGATCCAAAAAGGGGCGTCGGGGCTTGATCTTAGGATGAACAGTTGTGTGGATTTGTTGAACACTTTCTTCAAGGGCCGTCGAGACTTGATCTTGAATTGGTGGAAGTTCTTCAAGGGCCGTTGGGGCTTGATCTTGAAGGAGAAATTTCTTCAAGGGCCGTTAGGGCTTGATCTTGAAGGAGGATTTGACGAAGAACGAAGAGGGCTTTCTTGATCCTTCGGGATTTGCTTGAATTTGGGAGGTTGGATGCTTGAAAGCTTTAGAGTTTCAAAGCTTCAAGGATTTTGGATGTGTGGGGAGTATTCTCTTCCATTTTGGGAGTAGAGAAATGTATTTGTGAATTGGTTTATTGATTCTTTGATGGATGAGCCTATTTATAGGCTTTGGGAACGAATCACCACCATCCATTTGTTTTGGTGGATGTTGTAGGTGAATTTTGGTGGATGTTGTAGGTGAAACTTGGTGGATGTTTGTAGGTGAAACTTGGTGGATGTTGTAGGTGAACTTAGTGTATGATGTAGGTGAAGTGAATGAAGGTTGTAATTTTAATACAATGGTCAACATTTATTTCACCAAAATTTCAATGTTTACAAATGTAATCTTACTGCAATGGCTAACATTTATGCCACCGAAATTTCAATGTCTACACCAGGCCTACGTAGAAGGTCAAAGGCCTTTGCTTTAATTTCCAAATCATCAAATTGAATGTGCTTATGTAATCTTATTATTGATTTTATTTTCGTTTTTTTCTTTTTATTTTTTAGTATTTGACTCCTCTCCTATTCTCTCTTTTGACCCTTTTAATTTTTTTTTTCCGATTTTGATAATTAATTAATAAGTTGGATTTTATATTTAATTTAATCTGTAAATTTTGTAAACTATGTAGGGGGAGTTCAAGGTCAAGAGGGGTACGCACATATTAAGTGTATGTATTTCAATCAGATTGTAGATTTTGTATGGAAATAGTATGTAACTCAGTCAGATTGTAGATTTTGTGTGATTTTTAATAGGACTATCAAATCTTTTGTATGTAAATAGTATGTAATACACATAAAGTATTATCCTTTGTATATAAATAGTACTAGATACAAAGTTTTTGTATGATTTTCAATCCCGCAGCATTGCTCTTGAACATTCTTTGCTAGTTATATATACTAAAGCGCCATGGAAAAAACATTGTTCATAAGCGACGGTGTAAAGACGAAAATACCCATCTTCAATTTGCCTTTGTGTATTTCAAGTTGGTACAGTAAAAAGACGAAAAACCCTTTTGCACACGTGGAGTGCTAATGAGGTTTCTCGGTGGTCTTGTCCTGATTCGAAACGAAACCGAATCCCGCCTATCCAAATTTTCTCACCCTTTCGTTCCTACCTCCTCCACCTCTTCATCCTTGCTCCACCGCGAATCGAAACCAAAAGTTGCTCATCCAAATCAGTTTCGGTTCACTCAAATCCTTAGAACCCTAAAACCCAAATTTCTCCAGATCATTCCAAAATTCAACGGCAAACACAAAACCCAGATCCCTAAACTCACTCGATAACGTGTCAAGGGCTGGGCATCCAGTTCTCGCTCCCGTTGGATCCAGTATGCTTTTGCTGCTGCCAATCTACAGGTAAAGCTTAAATTTACATACAATTTTTTTTTTCTTGATTGGAATTTGGGCTTTTTATTCCTCCTTAATCCCAAGGTTCTGTAATTTATGCAACTTCGATAAAGGGACATGTTTTTTATTGCTGAAAATTGTTAAGGCCAGTTTAGATATTCATTTGCTCATTAATTGCTTCATTTCGGCCTTTAATCCCGTTGGATCCAGGTCCTGTCTCTCGACCAGTTCAGCCTGGCCCGACTTCCTCCTTTTGGCCTTCAATTGCTTCATTTTTTCCCAGTACCATTCTGGGTATGTGTGTATTTCAAAACAAGTTTCTTCGGTGTGCCTTGTTCCATTGCAGTGGTTGCAGTGAAGCTTATCTTTGTCAATATTGTAACACCCGCCCTCTAATTATAAAAATATATGTATGTAATTACCCCAAAACATTTTAATTATATCAATTTTGTCCCATTTTATCTACCCAATCTGAAAATGGATCCCTTTCTTTCTAAATCTGCCACTTGGCAGCACCCCAAACAATTTCTCCTTCTTCTTTTCTGTTTTTCTTTTCTTTCTTCCTGTCTCTCCCTCTCGGCTCTCTCTCATCTCTCACTTCTCTCCCTCTTCTCTGCACCGCGCACACATGCACGCACCCATCTCCCCGCGCGAGGAAGCCCATCACCCTTCATCACCGCGTCCTGCTCTCTCTCTCTCTCCCTCTCGTTCCCGCGACCCCAGAGAACCGGAAAAGGAGCTCCGGCGAGATTTTTCAATCTCCGGTTAGGTAAGCCCCTAATTCTCTCTTTTCGTCCTTGATTCTTGCGAGATTGAGGTTTAATTGGAGTTAATTCGTGATTTTTGGAGGTTATAGGACGAAATCGAAGCCGGGTGTAAGCACACCCAACTCCGGCGACCTCGGGGGTTTTTCCGGCCATCTCCGTCCATTCCACGACGAAAGGAAGGTATAGAAATACTCCCCTCGTCTTGCTCTTCGTTTTGGTACCTAGATCGAAGTCTAGGGTTGTGTGTGGAAGTCGGCCGGAGCTGTGAAGCTCCGGTGGTGGTGCTCCGGCGAGACAGGCCTCCCAGGCCGGTTCCATGCTAAGCGGGCCTTAGGCCCGTGTGGTTTGGGGAGCCAAGCCCAAAACCCTAGCCTATTTTACTTTTAATTATTTTATTTAATTGTAATTGTTTTAGGACCCTTAAAGGCCTTCGGGCCATTAGGAATTTAGGGCCCGTAGCCCATTAGTCAAACCCAAGAAACCTTTTTAAGGTTTTTATTTATTTTCTGTTTTAGGAAGTAAGGCCTTAGGGCCAATTGTAAAGTGGGCTTTCAGCCCTTTTCCCAAGTCCCTTTAGCTTAATTAAAACCCAAACCCCAAGCCCATTCTGGCTTTCGTCCAGGATCTCTCCTAGGCTAATTTCGACGTCCTGGACCCGTTTTTGAAGTCCGTTTTCCCAATTCAATTGTTAAAATAGAGTTTTATTAATTGGACCCTTTATGTGCTTAGGGGCAATTATTGGTGACGTTTTCTTGTTCGTTAGTTTGCGTGACTCTTCGGCGGCTAAGTACTGTGAGTGGACCCCTTCAAAAGCATGTTTTAATAGTAGAAATGCATACATGAAAGACATGATTTAATGATTACGTTTTATGAAACGTTTTGAGATAACATGCTTACTAAGGCTAGTTTGAATTATTACTATTTTTCCTATAACCCATGTTCTTATAGAATATCCGATGGATGACGATATGATATGTAGAACATGTTTCGAACACCTCTTTATAGTATAGATGATGGATGACTTTATACTATGAAGTTGTTTTTTAATATATATATATGTTCAATGGTTTTGTACTTACCTAGTGGTCCTTTCTGCTATGGGACGTAGGGATAGATTCCGGTCCGTCCCGGGCGACGGTTTGGTGTTGGCATAGGGCTTGGAGTGTGTTTCCTCTGGCTATTTAGCATAGGGACGGGGAGCCGGCATAGGGCCTGAAGTGTATTTTCCTCTGACTGTCTGCTCAGAGACGGGGAGCCGGCATGGGGCCTGGGGGTTATCGGACAATTCACTAGTGATTATTATATATGAATTATGATTTGAGATACTGCACATCATGCTAGAATTCGGAAAACCTATGTTTATCATTATATATATGTTTTCATAAACCTGGGGGTTAGTACGTTGATAACTGTTTTATTATATATATATCAACTTGGTCCACTCATGTTTGTTTTGCGCCCCCTTCAGGACTTAGAATCGAGGCGTACAATCCCGGCATCCAGACACTTCCGCATCGGTATCTTCGAGTCCTCTAGGTGTAGGACCCCGTTCTGTGTTCATTCAAATTGTTTATGTTAATTCTTCTAATATTCTCGATTAGATGTGTGCTCTGAACACGTTCCTTAAATGCATATTCTTTATTCTTTTATATTTATAAACCTTATCTATTCCTTATTCTCAGCATTTGCATTCAATTAATGGCTTTCGTCACCCTTGGGTGTCGGCCAGCACGTGCCTATCTTGGTATTCGAGGAATATCGGGATCGGGGCGTGTCAAATATCTTCTTGGGTGCGATTTGGGCTAGATGTTCCCGCGGATGTTAAACGAAAGGATGATGATGATGGGGACTTGGTGATCATCACCATAGAAGAGCTTGTGGTTTTAGATTTTGTTTCAAGCATAGGGGTTTGTCTCTGGCCTTCACGTCTAACCAAATAAAAACATTCTTCAATCCCAGGGATAGGTTTCATCCTTAGGATTTCACTCCTGACTTGATCAAAACCATGATCTAACCCCGCAACAAAGTCGTAAACCCTGTCCTTTGAAAGCTCCTCCCTACGGCTTTGCAGGTCTGCTTTGCATATCATCTTGATAGGGCGCCTTTTATCAAGATCTTGCGATACTCCTTTGAGTTCAGTGAAGTACAAATTTACTGGACGACCGTCTTGTTTAGTTCGCGTAGCCCTACACCTGAGTTCACAATATTGGAACTCGTCTGAATTGTCGTAAAACATCTGGGTTACACTTTCCCACACATCTTTGGCTGTCGGCAAGTCAATAAAGAGACTCGATAGGTGGGGCTTCATGGTTTTCAACAACCATCCTCGTACTATAGCAGTGATCATTGACCCACTTTGTATATCCAGGCGAGTCTTCAGCAACAACAGGGGTTTTTCCTGTCAAATACCCCAGTTTGCCAAGGCCAGAGGCATGGACCTCCATCATCTTCGACTAAACTTTGAAATTCGAGTCGCTCAATCTAAATCTGAATGGAAGGCCGCTGATTTTGGTAGACTCACTTTGAATAGACATAGTTTGCATGGGAATTATCTCACCGGTTTTTGTTTTTCTGTCTTCAGTCATTGCAGGGACTGATTTGTAGGTTTATTTTGATATGTTTTTTTGACTTTGTAGCTTTGTTTATTCCAAAGCCACAGACGTTGGATTTCTCGGTTCGTGACAAACACCAGCAATAATTCTTGATGCAAGTTGCATGCCTTGAGGGGGTTTTTAAGGGTTTTTGGAAAGAGACGGGCCGAAGCATCCTCTGATACCGACATAAAAGTTAAGGTGTAATTGTACGTATCCTTCTCTCTAGGAGGTAAATAAATAGTTGTTCAAGAGGTCCCATAAAATAGGAAATAAGAATCCGAATTATACAAGGAATCAATCACATGATCACATTCCTAAACTATATGGTTGACTCACGTCAACAAATAGTTATAGAGGAAATACAAATGATTTATTATTTGATGTGTTTGAGTGTGCCAAGGTTGAGTCAAACTGATAACTGTGCAGCTCAAGTTATATCGCTTCTGTTCTTCCAGTAATCTGAATCAGGATGGACGGGATACAGATCGTGAGCAGACGCAGACGAAGCAGTCCATGGCCCTTCAGTTGACTCCATTTCTATATGTTTCTCTCCCGTGCCCCTTCCAAAACTAGATTGAAAATGTTTCCTCATTGCATCAATCTCAATACTCTTGGCATTTGGATCCGAGACCAACTCATGAACAACAACCTTTCCTTCAAGCATGCTCACAACCGAAGACATGGTAGGCCTAGCTGTCGAAGTAACATTGCAACAAAGGAGAGCCACATTGATTGCAACAATCATCTCCTCTTTATTAAAGTCTGATCCCAACCTTGGATCAACTAGGTCCATCAAATCCCCCTGATCTTTTAGAAGTCGTGCCTACAAAAAATGGAAGCATCAAAGGCAATATGAATTCTGTCTTTGGATTAAACTTCATCGATTCAAATGTACTTTCATACGTATAAGGCATATTAAGAAAATTTGAAGTGAAATTAGGAAGTAGTAGATTCATGCTACCCAATCAAGAAGATAAAAGCTTTCTTCCTTTTTCCGGTAAGTTGTGTTGTTTCTCCCGCTAACAATTTCCAATACAAGAATACCAAAACTATAGACATCTGCTTTATCAGTCAGATAACCCCGCATTGCATATTCGGGCGCCATGTATCCACTGCAATATCATGAAATCAAATCATTAACCCAACTATATTGAAAGAACAAATCTGCCCTTGAAATTTCTTGAACAAGGATTTGGTTAGGTTGGAAATTATGTAAGTTAGAGACTTTCCGTTGCTCTATCTTCTTTTTTAAGGGTTGAAGAAGATCAAAACAAGAGAATAAGAAGATAAATAAAAGTGTAGGGACTGACTAAGTTCCAGCAATACGGGTGCTAATGTGTGTATTATCCTCTTCATTAAGCTTGGCCAATCCAAAGTCAGATATTTTCGGTTTAAGATTTTTATCAAGCAGAACATTAGTAGCCTTGATGTCTCTATGAACGACCTTCAATCTTGATTCTTCATGAAGATAAGCCAAACCTCTTGCTGTACCAATACAAATCTTGTGCCTTGTTGGCCAATCCAACTGCAAATGACTTTCTTTTGCCCCTTCAATTTGCCAAATTAAACAAAGTTAGTTGTAAAGGACATTTTTAGTGCATAAGATCTTTTATGCCCATTGTATGAATGAAATGAACTTTTGGCAAGCGAGATTGATATTTACTAAACAAAGCATGAGCGACGCTATTATTTTCCAGGTACTCATAGACAAGCAATAGTTGATTTCCTTCAACACAACATCCGTGGAGCTTGACAAGATGAGGGTGTTGCAGAGCAGAAATCATGCCAATCTCATTAACAAATTCACGATTCCCTTGCTTTGATTTGGAAGAAAGCTGCTTAACAGCTATTACGGTGTTATCTGCTAGAACGCCCTGCATTTGAGAAAGATAGTCAAATTCGCCTCACTATATAAAGCAAATTAACTTTCATTTGAACAGACAATATCAAATTAGAAAAAAATGTAATAAATAAATAAATATCAGCTCCGAAGAATACCTTATAAACTGAACCAAAACCACCTTCACCAATCTTATTGGCTTTGTTAAAGTTGCTTGTGGCATCTTTGAGTTGCTTTAAGGTAAATTTACCGGTTTGCAAGCCCACACCCTTCAAATCTGTATCACAAGTAAAACTCATAAGAAATTGTGTCGAAGAAAACTTTCAGAACGATAGTATTCTTAGTTCTTAATATTTTGTGCTTCTAGAATTTAACTAGTAATTGGATCTATAGGCAGACACTCTGCAATCCGCATCATGAGTTTGGACGATAAATATATTATAGCAACATCAAAGGGCCAAAAAGCTCAATATCTAAATAATTACTGTCTTTGTGTATGCACGTCAATATGCATGAGAACCATGCAAAATAGCATAAATATTGTTCTTAGTTACGAAAAAAGTTCAATAAGAAAAAGTAATGGAGAAACAAAAAGAAAAACCAGTATAACAGAATAAACTGCAAATTATTACCATCCTCCAATGTCTTTTGTTGTCCTGGGAGACCTCTCTTACAAAGAATACCAAATATCAGTAGTATAATGAAGACTCCTCCGACCACAATTCCAACCACACCACCTGTAGGCACGCCACTTCCACCAGGTTTTGGCGGGGGATCAAAGTCTGTCGGAAGAAAGAATATAGCTTAAATTAGAGTAAATGTAAATGTAATTGATATGAGAGTGGATTATTCAACCAGCTATCTAATGCACACAGAAACAGAAGATTGAACCCGGTCCTTGGGGCATCCTTAAATAAGTAGATAGTATATGAAGTAATCCATCGAACAAACTTTCTTCGGATGGTTGTAAATATTATATGTTTCCCTTAAGTGAACTGGATTATTTTCATGTAAATAGTTAAAAATGTTAAAACAGTCCAACCCCAGCCCATTCTACACAAATCCAGAAAATTCTAGCACTAAAGACGGTGCATCATGCAGGCGTATCAATATGCTAGATAATTCTAGCATTATCCTATTAAGTCAGTGGGTGTGTGTATATAATCATGTGCTAGAAAGTTCTAGCAGCTTATACAATATGTGGCTATTATGAAAAGTCATATGTCGGTGCAGTGTGTGCATGAACATGCACTAGAAAGTGCTAGTGAAGTCGGCATACATGCCTATAAATAGGTGTGTGATGTTGTGAAATAAACCAACCAACCAAGAAGAAGCGGGCAACCAAGTGAGAGTGAGAAGTCAGAGTAGTCTTGTGAGGAGTATGAGTGATCTAGAGTTTGTCTTTAGAAAATGAGTGAGGTCATTGCCTCTAAAGAGTGTCTTTGAGAGTTTGTGTGTTGCAATATTTTGTGAGTGTAATACAAGTAATTTGTTCACTTGTTTTGTGTCTCCAACACTTGTGTTAGAATTCTGTACTCTTAAGTTTTTCCTCAACAAACAATCCTCAAGTTGAATTTTGTTGTATTTAAAAGCACATACCGTCGCCTAGAAAATTCAGCATATTATGTGATAAGAAAATTTAAAAGAGTATTTCAAGTCTTGGCTCAAACTATGTAAAACAGGAGAAAAGCACAGAAGCATTTTTGTGAAAATACAAGGGAAAGGAAATATTGAAGAACCTTGCAGAGCTGAAGTCGGATCTCTTAATTTAGTAGATATATCAATGCATATGGTCGACGCATAGTAATAAGACAAAGGTCAGATCATTGAAAACTTACTTGGGTCTACTGAAATAGCTGAAATAAGAGGACCATAGACTCCTCTAACAGGGATGCCTGTCGTCCCTTTCCCGGCCCAATATAAACGAATCTCCAATGTATATTAGTTACAGGAGCAGTAAAGTTCATTATGACTACATCACCAAACACACGAGCTTCATCCATGATATTGAAGTCCTTCTTCACTAGGATTCCCTTCAATATATTTATGTATATATACTAATTTAGTTGCTTAACATTTCATGAACATAAATGTGAAAGTTAACATTCAAATCGACCAAAATATAAACAATGCTAGCTGAAAATTAGAATAATTCACTGGTATACATGGAAGTGGATGCGATACTTACCTGAATGTAAATATTGAATATGCGCCTTCCCAAGCTTTTATATGTTT